TATTAGCCTAAAACCATCATTTTGGTGACTTAACTAAGCTGTTTTCAGTAACTAGGCTGCCCACAGGTTCTTAATTTCAAAAGGGCATACTGTTCTTTTGAGACAAAGATAACAAACTTATATAAAGTGTATATTCCAATCAAAGAGGAGGAAAAATTGAGAGAAGTGGCAGCTACACGCCAGTTCTCAGTAGCACTTTGTGGGAGGCAGTAAAGAAAACTTTATCATTTTTGGAGCTGGTCTGAATCCTCTGTACCTGTGGGGTAATTCCCATGGCTGTGGTCATTAATAGGTCCGCCCAAGACCTATTATTAGAGAGCCTAATGATGACACCTTTGTCTCGCCTGTGTTAGAGTAACATTTACAATAAATGGTGCTCTAAAGTTTGCAGGTTTTTTTTTTTTTGCAAATAAGATGTTTCCTGGGCAGCATGCACGCAACCTGTCGCAGTGACGGCAAGGCCCTTTAGAGGCAATATTGAGAGGCTGCACTGGTGGGAGGTTGCATGGTGTGCAAGTGCCATCTGCAGGCAATGGCAGCTCTTGCGTAGCTCATTAAAAACACGCATTGTCCCCCAGCTCCAAGACAATATTTTACTTTTTTTTCTATTTTCATTGGCTTTTTTTTTTAATCCTCCACTGAAGCAACAGATTCCTTATATTCAACTCTGCCCTCTTAAGGAGATTCATCTTTTAACTCTGTTGATGAAGCCTGCTTTTATACAGGAGAATGGTCCAGCTACTTCCCTGCCTGTTGCAATTGGTGTTTATTAGCAGTTGCAGCCAACCCGGTGACAGTCAGGAAGTTCCTGAGTAGGAAGGACTGGCTATGGGCGTTTTACCATTTTATACCTTTTTTTTTTCCTGAGTTATTCACTCCCAGATTTATGCTATCTCACTTCAGACAGTCACCTTCAGTTAGTGACAGCACTCTTGCTGAACCCTGAGCTCCCCTGTGCTCCCCACAACAAGGCAGGAGGTCCAGTATTGCTCATGGTCCGTGTGTTGGACAGCTGACTGCCACTGCATGCGCAGGGGAGTGGAAATGAGCTCCTAGAGCATCTTCTCTTTTCGTAGGTTCATATTATTTAACAACCACCTACGGGGCCCTGGAGCACATCAAGAATTACGACAAAATAACTGTCACGCGGCAGCTGAGCGTGGAGGTGCAGGACTCCATCCACCGCTGGGAGCGACGGAGGACACTGAACAAGGCCCGGGCTTCCCGCTCCTCGGTGCAGGTATTTGGCATTCATTCCTAGAGGAAAAGCCTGGAACATGACCATGCATATATTTTTTAAATGAAATTATTATTAAAATTAACACAAATCACTATTAAAATGCAACAGTATGTACTGTGCAGAATTTCACAATCTTCAGAAAAATCCTCATTTTAAATAATTAGTATTTACAAAATGTGTTTTGAAATCTTGAAGTACTGTAAGTACTGTAAGTGTTTTGTTTGAAACACGACTGCAGAGAGATTTCTGTGCTCGCTCTCAAAGGAGGCCTTCTGTGTGCTGTGACAGGGAGGCAAGGACTTCCCTGTCCTCTATGGCCCTTGGGAATTTGTGGGCTAGGCGAAGGAGATGTGAGCAGGCAGCAGAGGGACAGGACAGGGCATGGATGCAACAAGATGCAGGAGGGCCCGGAGACAGCTGAAAGGCAGATCAGCACTGGCTAGTGTTGAAGCCTGGGCCGTGCATGGCCCGATGAAGACCCATGCTCCAGCTGAGAGTTTCCTGAGCAGGGATGGATGCTCTGGGCCTCCAGCCATGGTGAGGGCTGAAGGCAGGACCAGCCCTTGGATGTCCTGCCAACCCTGCACCCTGCCATGAGGCCTTGGCCCTCAGGGAGGCAGCAAAGACCATGTCACAGGCCTTGCAACACCTTCATGGCGTGAAACCGAAATGCTGAAGGCCAAGGGGCAGAAGCTAGGAGGCCTCTTGAGTTTGAGACACGGCCCACATGGCCGTGCGGAGCCATGGGGTTTTCACTTCCTTTTCATACTGTAGTCGAAACAGATCCTGATGATCTCAGAACATGTAAATGGTGGATGGGGACACATGAGATACCCATCCAGTCCCATGTGCTGCTGGCACAAGCTCAGAGCAGTAGCTAGCATGGAGCATGATAACTGGGCAAGCGAATTCCGCATTTCTCCAGGAGATTCCCCCAGCCTCCAGCAGCATGGAGGCAATTTTCCGTTCCTGCAAACCATGGGTAGTGCCACAGGCACTCAAGTCCATAGGAGGTAACTAACCTGCTGATGTGGTCTGTATCCCTTGCACACCTCACATCTGCCCTGCTCACAGGTGGCTGCTGCCATGACTGGGCCACCCATCCTGGGCAGGATACAAGGGCAGCGGCACAGTGAGGTGCTGGGGCAGAGGAGAGCTGGAAGTCAGTGCTGGAGGGGATAATGCTGAAGATCAGTTTGGAGAAGATAGCCTGAAGCCAGAGAGTAGGCAATGCAGCAAGACATGGGTCAGAAGGCATAGGACAACAGGCCCACAGCAGAAGGTCGACTTTGGTGAGACATCAGGTTTGCAGCCAGGGGGTGATGTGGCCTTTCCCACGGCCTTTGCCAATATTTAGCAAAGTTCTATCATTTAATGGGTCCCTTTTGTCCAGTCTGAGGCAGTAAGGCCCTCTGCAGTCATCTGCAATTCTAGAAGCCACAGCTTTCCCACATCTGCTGAAAAACCTGAGGGTTTTCTGATGGAAAGGTCTGAGATTTTTAAAAATTTCACAGTTATCAATTAAATATGTGGGTCCCTTCATGACTAAAGGCCCTGTGGATCCTGTTCCTCATGAGCTGAGCTTGGGAAAAGTTCACCACAGTCTCATCACTGTCTGAAACAGGATATGAGTAAATCAGCCTCCCAGCAAACGTTCTTCTGTTGTTTCCTTACTGACAGCAGAAAGTTTGGAGGACATTCTCTCAAAGTGCTACTTGGGTGACCATACTGTTATAAAGGGTCATTTTATTGCCAGTACTTTCCTGTTTCATGGGGTTTAAAGTTGAGGTGTTTGAGATTTTGGGCATATTATTCTGGTCTTCTTGGCATCTTAGTTTTTCAGGAGCTGTAGAGAAAAGGAACTGTGGCAGGCTACAAACAAAGGAGTTCACTAAAGTCAACAAAAAAAATATGCATACAATATTCTTTAATCCTGTATCTTTGCCAGGGATAATTATTTGGTTAAGTATTTGTTAGTTTAAGTATTTGTTGATTCAGAGCTCATATTCAAAGGGGAGTAAGGAGAGGATATTGAGGGCACTGAAGGATGATACTTGGGAGAATATGTGGGAGGTTATAGGAGGCAACTAGAGCTTTGGGGCTGATTTTTGCCTCTTTGGGTCCCAAAGTGAGTGCATTAATTGCAAGATCTGTCCTCACATCTCTTTTCAGGATTTCATCTCTATCTCTTTTCTGGAGATCGGTGCTCAGTCACGGACTCTGGCCTCCCGGAGCGACACCACGGCCGAGCAGCTCAGCCAGCAGTGCGCAGAGAAGTTCGACGTCTCCCAGCCCAAGGACTACAGACTCTTTGTCTATGTTGATGAGCAGTGGTTGCAGCTGGACAAAGACGCCCTCCCTCACCATATCAAAGCCTCCCTGCTGAAGAGTGAAACCAAGAAAGATTTCCACTTTATTTATAAACCAATAGACCATACAAAGCCACCCGTTCGTCTTGTCAAGGAGTCAGACTTTCTCTAAGGGCAGTGCTGCTCTTGTACTGTGTATGATGTGGTCCTGGAAGGGCTCAGATGGTTTAATCTTGTGAGATCCTCTGTTACCTGCAGGTCTCAGAAGGTCTCTGCAGGTTGGCCTTCGACACAAGGCAGGTGAGTGTGCTAAGTGTAGATGCTGTCTGAGTACAGGGCATTTCCCAGCAGAATTCAAGTTCAGAAATAAAAGGAGCATTCAGGAGAACATTCACACATTGGAAAACTTGAAGCATCAAAACTCAGGACCTCTCTACAGCAATCAGTTTGCTTCATAGACTGCAAGCAGACAGTGGAGAACTAATCTACAGGTCTTACGGAAGAGCTGACTTTTACCGCATAATAAACTATGGTAGGTGTGAATCACCTTAGTGCACAAGGCCTGTGAAAGGTTTGCAAACACTCTCAGTGCTGTTTGGAGCTAAGAAATAGTGTTTGTGCCTTGCAAGATCTCTGTTCACCCAGCTGGAATAAGTGAATCTTGGCTGATGAATTCAGTGGCATAGAGTTGCCACTTGTAGCACAACTTGCTGTTCAAAACATGCCTTTGAAATCCATGTAGTTGAAGACCATGCAAGCTGACATTCACTAAGAAACCATTTTCCACCATCTGCCTGTTCCTAAAATCAAGTAGCGCAGACCTTTTCATCTTTGTATTTTTCTTCTAAAAGTTTGAAAATCTGCACCATCAGTTTTACATGTACCATAGTTTTAATCAAATTGGTTGTATGATAGTGTCTGGTTAATTGTGTATTTATTTCCATGTTTGATATGGTGAAATTGTTTTAAAATAATTGTTTGTGAAGAACTTAGTAATTTGCCTATTGTAGCAACCTCAATTAAAATATGAATGTCAAAAGGGCTGGAATTAAACACCCTTCTTGTTTTAAGCATATGTCATTTTCTTTAGTGTTCTTATACCTGCAAATCCCACCAGGTTATTACTATAATAAATCCAGACTGTTGCAGGCAGAGCTTGCTAATTCTGTTCTTGATATTTCTACCTCTGCAATCCTTCATTCTCTGCAAACTTAAATGTCCCGTAGACTAAATTGCACAAACTCATTGCATTATGAAATATGAAACAAATTTTTCAGGATTAGAGGTTGCAAGCGGAATCCTTTCTTGTAACCTTATGACAACAGACCCTTAGCATCCAGGGTACGACACCTCCGACCCACTGGCCGTCTTTTCCCCCTGGACCAGGGCTCCAGCGAGCTCCCTACCTCGCCTCCCACAGCAGAGCTGATGTTCCTGCTGCCCACACAAGGACATCATGTGAAAACCGGTCTTTGAGCTGTGCCTTTTAGCTGCCCTCTGCTACAGGTTATTTTAAGACCCAGGAGCAAAAGCTGTGCGTGTCTGCCAAAGTCCTTCGCCTGAGCAGGCTCTGTTCATGCAGTAACGTTCACAATTAATGAGCCTAAAGTAATCTGATGGGGATCAGGCTAAAGAAGAAACATGCGAGGAAGGAAGCTAGGACTGATCTTCTGGGTATTTCTGGAGAACAACCAGGCTTTGCACCTGACAGCATCGAGCAATTGATTTACTAGTGAAGAGTTCTACAGTGCCAGGGGGACACTCCAGCAGCAGCCAGACCTTAGGAAAGGGGGAAAAGTGGATGATATGGATGGGCAGTGGAGGAAATGGAAACCAGGACAGTGCTAAATCACTGCAATCCAAAGGGAGTCAGAATAAATTAACCAAAGATTGGTCCCAAAATCTGACCTGCATGCCATAGCTATCAAAATCAAATGAGTGCCAGCTGAATTGCTGGAAAGGGATCTGCCTTTCAAAGTTTGCTGAAGAACTATTCTATTAAAATAAAAGAAAGGAAAAAAAATTAAGACTTTTTACAAAGGCTCTCAAATAGCACATGCAAATTGTGGTGCACCTTTTCATCTGTCAGTAGACCTGCAAAGCCGTGATTTGACTTGCAAAGGTTGCTATGGCTCCCTCTGAGCTCAGTGAGATTATTCAAAGCCATGGAGCTGCGATGCCTGGCAGGTTGTTGCTTGGAAAGAAATCCCTGTGCTGCAGACTTGCTGCAGAGAGGGGCTTTCTTGGACTCTGCGGGCCAGCTGGTCTGTTTGACTGCATTATATAAACTACTATCAACAGCATTGTGGAGCCTACACCTCTTCGGTCTTTCCAGGCAGGTATGTTACCACACTGTGTGGGCACCAGGTTTGCTGAATGTGTCTGGCAGGTAGCAGGGGAAGGGACAAGCAAAGCAAGCTTCGGTTGGGACGTAGTGTTGTATGAACTAACTCTGGCCAGGTACTGCCAGAGGTGTCAAATCACCCTGGCCTGGGGTACACAGGAGATTCTTCTCCTCCAGACACCGCACCTCCATGGACAAGCTGGGAAGGAACCTCAGTGATGGGACCCCCGAGCACAAATGGCTCCGGGACCGTGATGGCTGCTGCTTCTCTGAGCTGACTCCTGCGGTGGGACTCGGTCACTGCAACAGGACTCTGCACGTGGGTTGTGCAGAAATAACTTTTCAGCAATAAATGTGCTGCTGTTGTGGTGAATGTGGCAAGGCTGAGCCCAGCAGGCTGCTGGAAAGCTCAGCGCATCCCTTCCTAAGGCTCCAAGGAGCACGCAGGGTCAGCTGGTGGGGCAGGAGCAGGACGAACGCCGTTACCTGCCCCCTCTCTCTGCGCCCATCGGTACCTCAGAGCGCGGGGCAGCTGCCTGGCTCTGCAGCCAGCCCCCGAGGGAGCGCGTGTGCAGTTAGGGGCAGCAACGCTCCTTGAATGCAGCACAGGGCCTGCCGCTCTGACAGGGCGAGCAGGGCAATGCTCCCCTCAGGGGTGGCAGGGCTGGTGTGCGGGGAACACGGTGTCCCCAGCTGCCACATGCAGCTCATGACCAAAGGATGAGTGAAGGCCATTACTCAACAGGCTGCAAGTCCTGCCTGCTGGCAGAAGGAGGCAATGGGACGTGCTCAACAGCAGCCATGGGCAGAGTAGCAGTCCCAGGGCCATGAGCGTGTCACCTCCTCCATAGGGCCAGTCTCAGGCATGCGGACCAGCTGCAGCGCCAGCCAGGGCTCATCTTTCTCTTGTGCCTTCAGGTCCTGTGCCCCTTCGGTTGGCACCTGACATTTCAGGTGGCGAGAAAAGAAGATAAACATGGGATAGACAGGTATGGTTTTGAATGCTCCATGGGGTTTTCTTTGCTTGCGTTGCCCCAGGGCTCCTGACCCTGCTGGCTCTGTCTGCAGAGCAGGCGGGGAGGAAGCAGTCGGATCCGCTGACCAGAGCCCTCCGCCTCAGCCAAGGTGGCCCGGTGGTGACTCACACACCAGCCCTCACATGAGCCATCAGCAGATGAGCACATTCCAGGGGACTTTGACCAGGGAGCGTTGTGCAAAGCGGCCAAGGCCTCCTCCAGCACTCCTTGCCACAGAGACATTTTGAAACAAGCACT